CTTAATGCTTAATTTTTCAAGTTCTCTGTGATTATATTATAAACAATGTATGTATGAAATTTGTAATAAGTATAAAAATATGTCTCCTTAGATATTGATTCTTTTATTTAGATCAGATAGATTCTAAGCAGATTATGTATTTTTATATTAAAAGACATCTACCTAAATTAGATAAAAGTAACTTTTTCTCCATACCTTCAGTAGCAAAATTATATTTTCCAGTATACTATACCATTATTATTTCCCTCATTAATGCTACTGAGTGGGAACATCTTTTCACAGTGTAATCTATAAATCACCCTTCTATATAAATTGTTGCTGTCTTACCAGTTTGTAAAAACTCTTCCTCTATAATAGATATCAGTCCTTTCCCTATGTTTTATATTACTAATATTTCTTTTCAAAATTAACTGTTTGAAGATTACTAAATTAGTCATGCCATATATTTTTTTTAATTTATAGAATGAGATATTTCTATTATTTATCTTATAGATTTATGACTAAGAAGTTTCTTAACCCTAGATTGTGTATGCAGTCTCTCCAATTTTCTTACAGAACTTTTATTTTAAAATTTTTACTCCATCTGGAAGTTATTTTTCAATCCAGTTTTAATAAGTGGTCTATTTTATTTTCAAGTAAAAGGCATTGTATCAATGCCACTTATAATGCACTATTTTCTTAATGAATCAAAATATTTTATATTCCATTATGCCATTTTATTTAGCAGAATCCATTTTTAGATTCTCTTCTACTAATTTACTTGCTTAAACTCATGCCAATATTATATTGATTTCATTATAGTACTTTTATAGCACACTCTGGCATCTGGTAAGGCAAGTTTCCTCTCATTTTCTTTTTGTATTCAAAAAAAGTCAACACTCTTTCCCCTGATATAAACTTAAGATCACATTATCCAAATGTAATACAAATAAATACCAATTAAGGTGAAATCACACAAGATTGGGTGCGTTCACACTGATATAGTCATAGAAGGTGACATCAAATAAGATGTTTTCTAGAAGTTAAATATATATGAATGTTGGGAAAACTGATTTTTTTCAATAATATCAATTCCTTTCTAACTCAAAACAAGTATGTTTTCCATTTTATTCAGATATTTATGTATGTCCTTCAATAAAATTATATATATTTTTTAATTTGGATTGTGCTTTTTGTTAAATTTATTGCTAAGTATTTTATTTAGTATTAGGTGCTTTATTGAATTGAATGTTTTTTTCTAATTCCCCTCTCCAGGTACTGTTGGGTTTACAAAATGATACCCCAAAGTGAAGACTTAAGTTTCAGCTCCAGAAGCAAAGCCTCTTTTTGATCTTTTCTTGCCCTCCTGTCTCTTGCCCTTCATTTTTTCAGGAAGCAAGCCACAGAAACGAATATCTCTCTTCTCCAAGGTGGGCATAGAAAACAGAAATCCTTTTTCCCAATGCTAGCCATAAAGTCTAAAAAGAATATTCAACTTCTCCCCCAACAAACATACCTTCTTTCTGTGTAACAGCTGGCCATAGAGAAATTAAGACCCCCATTCCAGAAAGGTCTTACACCATACCCAGGAGGAAGGAACACTGTACAGAGAGGCCTTCTTGAGTTTCCACACTCACTCTGCTAGCATTAGATTGTACCCTTTTTGAAGTGGCTGAGCACTATCACTGAACTTAAGCATGAAAATGAATAATTTTCCCTGTCTCTTTGGGGCTTCATTCTGATGACTCCTGTGTCACATAAAACTATGATCAAATAGATTTGTTATGCTTTTCTCTTGTTCAACCTGTTTTTGTTAAAGGGATGTCAGCTGTGACCCTCATGATGAAGAGGAAAAGTATCATTTTCTTTCCACTCCTACAGTTCTTCTATTTGAACAGATTTTTAAATTTCTATTTAACTATCTTATCATATCACCTTATTAATTTTACAAATATTTTGGGTTTTTGACTATTCAGTCAAATCATTATAACAAATAATACTTTAAACCTTTTAGTTTCTTAATTACATTTGTCAGACCTTCCAAAGATATTGAGTAATAATAGTTATAGAAGTTAAATCCTATTTATATCCTGATTTTGTTTTAAATAGTTATAGTATTTCATGTTTTAGAAAAATAATTGCTGCTTGCCCTTGGGTAAGAGGATATTTTACATTTAAGTAGTTTCCCTATGTTTAACTTAGAGAGTGTAATAACAATAATTAACTGATTATTGTCATGCTTATCAACCTATCATTGACCGCTTGATATGGAAACTTCCCTGTCTTCCTGAAATAAACTTCATTAGGCCATAAGTATTATTCTTTTAATTAAATGATGTGTCAATTAGATATCCTAGCATCACCACACCCGGCTTTTTTTTTTTTTTAAATGGAGAACAGGCCTAGCTATGTTGACCAGGCTGGTCTTGAATCCCTAGGCTCTCACAAGAATACTAGTTAGTACACTGATGCTGATGGTTTCCTAGAAAACTTACCTAGCTGGGGAAGCCTGTACTACAAGGGCCTCACCCTCCGAAATATAATTATGAGTTTTATTGGGTCCCCCCCGATATGTACCAGGTCTGTCCCTATAAAGTCATGTATGGCTTTTAGAAAATCATTGCATATGTCTTGATAATAGTTTCCACATCTGCAAATGGGGAAAAAAAAATAGAACCTGATGGTTCTTGTTAGATTAAAAAAATTACACCTGGTCATACTGGTAAACTTTAAGCTCTCTTTCAGAAAGTAGAGGGTTTGAGGGAATGTGACATTAAAACAATTAGATTGGGAACATCGCCTTACTTTTAAGATAATAATATATAAGAAAATTCAGTAATTCTATGACAGTGAAATTGTAGGCCCTCCTTATCTGTGGGTTCCACATCCATGGATTCAACCAACTGCAGATCAAAAATATTCAGGAAAAAAATGAATAAGCATGTCTGTGCTGAACATGTACAGACTTTTTTCTTGTCATTATTCACTAAACAATAAAGTATATCAACTGTTTATATAATATTTACATTGTAGTAGGTATTATAAGTAATCTAGAGATGATTTAAGGTATAGAAGAGGATGTATAGAGGTTACATGCAAATTTTACAGCATTTTATATAAGGGACTTGTGCATATGTGGACTTTGGTACCAACTTCAGAAACCAAAGGACAAGTGTATAATAAGTTCAGGTGAACTCACATGAGTTCAATGTTTCTCAAACATGAATGTGCTAGTACAAGATCTTCTTAAAGAAAGTACATATAAGGTACATGGCAGAAGACAGAGGAAGATTTAAAATATTAAAAATTAGTACGTCATTAAACTGCATTTTCATATTGTTCTTAGAAAAAAAGAAATAGTCTGGGGTCAAATGGTGGGCTTCATGGGTTCCATAAATACTGTCATCTTGCAAACAAGAGTTTATGTATATTTATTTACTATTTTGTTGGGAAAGTTCATTACATTCATTAGATTTGTAACTAGTTTGGGACCTGAAAAACATTGCAAAAGGCTATTCTAGATGAATAATCTAACTTTCTACCCATAGTCTCTGCTTAAATATTTCCATGGTAATACTTTTGGAACTTCACCTAAAAGACCATTTCATGTTGGACAGCTACAACTAGTAAAAACTCTAGTTCACAAGAAGACAAAATTTACCTCTGAAATTCCTATCTATGTTCTTGATTCCAGTATCTGAAGAATGAGAGAATAAAACAATTCCCTATTCCTGAAAATAGTCCTTTACATAATTGAAGACAGTCATCTCGGTGCCAAGGTTTTTTTTCTTTCTTAGAATGGCTTTTAAACAACATTATCAAGCCGTACAGACTTTACTCCTTAACTCAAAGTTAAGGCAGATGGTTTTATCACTCATTAAGACAACATTTTATACATGTTTCAAAACTCTTTGGGTGGCCGGGCATTCAGTGGCTCATTCCTATAACCCCAGCACTTTGCGAGGTTGAGGCAGGAGGAATGCTTGAGCCCAGGAGTTCGAGACCAGTGTAGACAACATAGCAAGACCTCATCTCTACAAAATAATGAAAAACTGGCTGGGCTCAGTGGCTCAGCCTGTAATCCCAGCGCTTTGGGAGGCTGAGGTGAGTGAATTGCCTGAGCCCGCGAGTTCGAGACCTGCCTGGGCAACTTGGCGAGACTTCATCTCTACAATAAATCAAAAATTAGCCGGGTGTGGTAGCGCACGCCTGTAGTTCCGGCTACTCGGAAGACTGAGGCGTAAAGATCGCCGGAGCCCAGCAGGTCGAGGCTGTGGTGGCTGGGAGCAGCCACTGCCCTCCAGCCTGGGTGACAGAGTGAGACTCCAACCCGCCCCCCCCCCAAAAAGATAAAAAACTTAGCCAGGTGTGGTGATACATGCAGATAGTACCCGCCATTTGGGAGGCTGAGGTGGAGGGATCACCTGAGCCCAGGAGTTCGAGGCTGTAGTGATCATGCAGCTGCTCTACAGCCTGGGTGACAGAGTGAGATTCCAATCAAAAAAAAAAAATAAGGAAAAAGAAAACGTTTTTTAGTTATAGCTCACTTATTCTGAAAGAGGGATAGATCAATCTAGATTTACTTGTGAACTTTGGAAAGAATTCAAAGAAACAAATATGTTATGTTGTATGTGACCTCATAAATTCCACAGAATTCTCACATACTTATATACTCTACTATATTTTAAAAAACAAACTCATAATAATTTTTTAAAATTATTTTTTGACTATGAATTATTGTCAAAATACCTGTGGATGGATTTCAACATGTTTTCAATCTTATAGCCAGAAGTCAGTTTTACATTTCTATTTTTGGATTCAGAAAAGATAAATGCAAAATAGTACTGCTTTAAGTGGTACTAAAACCATCAGTTACATTAATTTTTTGGGAGGCGGAAGAAGGACATATTTAATCGAGTAAAATATAGCATCATGCAAGGTAGAACAAATTCCAAGGCAGCGAACCAAGTTCTGTGACATTCAGCACCCAGATTAAATAAATACATAAGAGCATTACTTACGGATACAATTCTGAAAGCTGTTCCGCTATTGCATAAGCTGTTGGGTCTCTGTCTAAGACGTACAGAGTAATATCTGGCTCCTTCTTTAGAATGGCTCTTGTATGTCCTCCTGAACCAAATGTCATATCTAGAAAAATCTAGCCAATGCAAAAAAAAGAACATTACCATTTAGAATAAATAAAACTTATTCTTACCAATGATCTCAATTTTTAGAAGTACATACTGATTTTCAGAGCTGACAGTAAATTTAGAAAAATAATAAATATAATGCTTTTGCCTAGAGATAAATTTGTCAAACATGAAATCTGACTCAATTATGAGTGATCAGCCCAAAAGAACTGATCAGAGAATCAGTAAATAATCCAGGGCGCAGATTAGCTAATTCCAGACAAATTTACAATTCCCTTCATAAGGTCAAACTGGACACATTACTACGCTGCCAGGTCTTTGACACTTTCCAGCACACAACTGGTAGTAACATTTTCAAGCATTCATCATTTGAAGATGGCTTACAACTTAGTGTGGTTTACTTTATTTCAATTTCTCGAAATGCTTTATATGAAAATTAAAAATATTCAAGGAGGAGGAGGAGGAGAGAGAGAGAGAGAAACCAAATAAAATCTAGAAAATTGACAAATCAGCAAATATGACCTCAACAGTCCAAGTCGTAAGTCAAAACACTTATGGTAAAATCTAGGTTTGATGTTAAGTAGCTATATGTCTTTGAGATAGTCACTTAAAGTCACAAAATGCCAGTGGCTAGATTTCTCCAGCGTTTAAAAAGAAAAAGTAGGTGAATAAGAAAAGAAGATACCAAGCCGGGCTCGGTGGCTCAGCCTGTAATCCCGCGCCTTGGGAGGCTGAGGTGAATGGATTGCCTGAGCCCGCGGGTTCGAGACCCGCGTGGGCAACTTGGCAAGACCTCATCTCTACAATAAATCAAAAAAATTAGCAGGGTGTGGTAGCGCGTGCCTGTAGTTCCAGCTACTTGAAAGGTTGTGGCGAAGGATCGCCGGAGCCCAGCAGGTCGAGGTTGCGGTGGCTGGGAGCGGCCACTGCACTCCAGCCTGGGCGAGAAAGTGACTCCAACTCAAAAAAAAGAAAAAGAAAAAAAGATACCACTATCCTCACCTACCTAAATGATAAGATAATATATATCATTTCTCATCTAAACCAAGATACTCCTGAGTGTGAAAGTTTTGCCAGTAACAATTTTGTCAGGACAACAGGATACAAATCTAGAAAATTGACAAATCAGGACTACAAATTTAGAAAACTGTTGGATTAATTAAATGTTTTGATCATTCAAGATACACAATGCAGTTAATTGAATCTGAATCTACTTATTGGCTATTTTATTTGGCCACAGCTGAGTAAGAAACCAGACCCAGACCATAAGAAACACATGTGTGAACAAGTTAGTTGATTGTGACTAATTTGGAAGTCAAGACACTCTCCACACATCCCCTCAAAGACATGCTCTTAGTTTAATGGGCCCTTTCAATAAACTTCACTGGTATTATGAAAATGAAAACAATTATTCTAAAAGTATTGAAAACAATAAATAACATAAGTCTATTGGTTAGACTTAAAATATTACAAAATATAATATATATATATTTTTGAGTTGGAGTCTCACTCTGTCATCCAGGCTGGAGGGCAGTGACATGCTCCCAGCCACTGCAGCCTCGACCTGCTGGGCTCCAGGGATCTTTCCGACTCAGCCTTCCAAGTAACCAGAACTACAGGCATGCACTACCATGTCTGGCTAATTTTTTATTTATTGTAGAGACGAGGTCTCACCAAGTTGCCTGGGTGGGTCTCAAACCCACAGGCTCAGGCAATCCTCTCGCCTCGGCCTCCCAAAGTGCTGGGATTACAGGCTGAGCCACCAAACGCGGCCAAAATATAATATTTTAAAAATTTGTGTTTATACTGCAAAAGAAGGGAAGTTCTAGTCATACATGTGAATATTTCCCTGTTCTGAATGCCACAACTTATTTCAGGAGGAGTAGTCAGAAACAATGCACAAGGATGCTTTGATTTTGTGGCTTCTATCTACCATGCTATAGATCAGAATCTTATTCTCTGATCAAGTCTTCAAAATAGTTAGCTACTGTTGAAAGAATATATAGAGGAAATCTGATCAAAATTGAGAAGTAGATAGACATAAAATATAAAAGAGAAGTAAATGTGGGAAAACATGCTTTCTAACATGTTTTATGTTAATTAAATGTTAATGTTTTAGTATAATTTAACCGTGCATGTCAGCAGAAAAGGCATGGCTAAATATATTTTTCACCACTTTAAACAGTATCTTTATATTTTTAGGAGTACATTCTTAAATCTCAAGAAATAATTTCCTTTACTGGTCTATACAGTATACATCTATTTTATGCATCTATGAGTAGGAAATAATTTTCTACCACACTTTACCTCAAATTTAAAGTTTCAAGGAGTTCAACATCATTTAAACAAATAATTTTTCCCAGGCAAAATTATAAATTTTTCTTGTTATGACACCAATACCAGGTCTTGCTATAGCCCTGGATTTAAACTGAGAGTATAGTAAATTAAAGAAATTATAATATGATTACCTTCTCTTAAGCCAAGAAAGCCCCAATCAATATTTAAAAAGAAAAATCCTCATCATTAAAAATATTCTGGAAAATGAGTGATTATAATTTACATGATTATCTTTTAATATATCATGATTATGCCCTTGGAGATGTACTACAACCAAAGAAGATTCCATAAGGGGAAAAAATCTATTATTACCCATCAAGTGTAACAAAGAAAGCAAAAAGTGGGAGACAAATGGGATTTATGAAACTAAAATGAAACCCACCATATGTCCTGGGTTAATAGGTGATTGAAGCCATTAACTTTCATTTTAAGAATTCTAATATGCATCACTTATCAAATAGAAAAGGGACCTCTAGGCCTCATGAGTCACCCAGCCCTACAACTAAAAAGACAGCCAATTAGTTTTTGCCTTCTCCTGGGTCATTTAATTAAGACCACATTTTCTTTCAATCTGTACAAGTTGAAAATAAAATAAGATGTCTAATCAATTTTTGTGATTAACAAATAAATATATAAGCACATATATCTAAGTTTTTCAAAATAATCCTTCTATGGATCTCATCTATATATATGTTTCAAATGTATATCTTACACTCTAAACATATATAAAATTTTTCTTTAAAATTACCTAATATAATTTGTCTTTTCAAAAAAATCATATTTGCTATAAAGAATTTTTTGTGATTTTCACTGTATAACCCTGGTCAAATCATTTTAACTCGTTGAGCGTCAACTGTTTCATCTAAGAAATGGGAATACAATGAAATCCTGTTTACCTCACACAAATTTATAACCATTACCTTAAATCCTGGCTACAACCACAAAGTAGGTACTATTAGATTTTATGTGGAAACTAAAATTACACTAAGCACGTAAGTGGCACATATAGTGATTACATATAGGTGCATCTGGCTCTAAAACTTGTGTTCTTTCCTGTATCACACTGTCTATAAATCAGTAAAGTATATATTTTCATGACTCATTATGGGTTATCAAGTATTAATATTTTCCTACTTAGTCTTATAAGAGCTCTGTGAGGGAGTACACAGACAACTAGCATTATGCTCATTTTTCCAAAAATGCAAACTCAGGTACAGAAGGAAAATGTGACTTAATTAAGAGCATATTACTAGTAAGTTACAGGAAGCAAACTCTAAACCAGGTGTCACCAACACTAAATTCTGTGCTTTTTCTGAAATAAACAGAGGAAGGTAAGAAGTGAAATTTAAAAAGTAGATGACACAATGGGGTTCAGAATTTATATAATTTATCTTAACATGAAGATAGATAAATATGGAAACTTTGCTCAATCCTCCAACACAGCTAAACACAACTACTCTTTTAAAACAGTTCCATTGTTTTTTTTAAAAGTCGTTATGAAGATAAATCTATTAAATTAAATCCCAAAGAAAGACAATTATTTTACTCATAGCCTGTTATAAATATCTGCTTATTATCTGTAACAGTCACTAATAAAGACTGACTTATTGACTACTTAGCTTTCAATTTGATTTTGAAAATTAAAAATTAAATAAAAAGTAATTTAGAATCAATGACTCATGATAGTTAGAGCTAGAAGTACCCTTGGAAATAATCCATGCTTAATTCCTTTATTATACATACTGCTCTCTCTCAAGTATACCTAGTCCTACACTTTCACACCTCTCAAATTTGGTATCATTTAAAACGGGTCTGTGGCCTGTCACGAATTGGGCCACATAGCAGGAGGTGAAGATTCACCTGTTTTTACAGCCACTCCACATCACTCGCATTACTGCCTGTGTTCTGCCTTCTGTCACATCAAGGTGGCATCAGATTCTCATATGAGCACAAAACCTATTGAGAATTAATTGTGCATGCAAAGGATCTAAGTTCTGTGCACTCCTTGTGAGAATTTAACGCCTGATGATCTGAGATGGAGCTGAGGTGGTGATGTTAGTGCTGCAGTTAGCAGTGAGGTTTGACTGCACAGAAACCATAATAAATCAGTTGCTTGCAGACTCATATTAAAACCCTATCAGTGAGGGACAAGTGAGCTTGATGTCCTTCACTCTGCAGCTGCATCTGATGGCAGGCTTTAAGTCGGAATCTGACACTTTAGTCCACATGTGGCCCGCCTGTTATTATTATTATTATTATTATTTTTACCAATTCCATCTTACCTCTTTATTTTAAATACTGAGTTGTATAATTATTTCATTATGTACTATAATGTAATAATAAAAGAAGTAAAGTGCACAATAAATGTTATGCACTTGAATCATCCAGGAACCATCCCCGCCCCTCCAACCCCTGCCACACACACTTACCAGTCTGTGGAAAAATTGCCTTCCACTAAACTGGTCCACGATGCCAAAAAGGTTGGGGATCTCTGATTTAAGTCTCAGCTCAGGCTACTCTCTGAAGATAGAGACTGACAGAAATCAAGGTGTTTGCCCAAGATCATCCAACAGGAATAGATAATTTAATGATTTTTTTCCAATCTAACAGTTCTAATCATTGAAATTTTCACACTGGAACAACACTGTTAAAATTGGACATAAAAACAATT